GAAAAAGTATCTATCACACTACATCTATAAAAACATGTATAAACCTTATAACTTTAAAATTTATGACTCAAAATAGAATTAACAATTTGACAAAAACTATGATGATGTGTATAATATCAACAAGCTACCAGTTTTTCCCAAGATAATTCTAAATTGTACATCTGAATATTCATAAGTAATAATGGTTAAGGGAGTGAGATGAGGAAGAGCAAAAGGAGTCTAATATGAGAATTTTAAATATACTGCAAAAATCATATATATATATAATATATATTGCATGTATTATATATAAACACACACACACACATATATGTGTATATATATATATATATACATATATGTGTGTGTGTGTGTTTGTGTGTGTTGGGGAACACATAGAGACAGTGAGATAACAAAATATCAATTCACAGAAAATCTAGAATTAGACTTAAGTGCATGTGAAATTTAGTATATGAAAAGAAGATACATCCGTGCTGCAAGAGTGGTAAGTCCCTTAAGGAAAAAGATGAACATTTGAATAAAAGACACTATGGCAACTTAAGAATCATTCAGAAAAAGAGAGAAAATTGAAATATCTCAGACCATTATCTGCTTTATGTAAGAGGAAAAAAAAAAAAAAAACAACAGCTATGAAAAAAAAAAGATGTGTCATTTTTTTCCAGATTCTATGGTTTATTTATTTATTTATTTTTATTGTTGGTTGTTCAAAACATTACATAGTTCTTGATATATCATCTTTCACACTTTGCTTCAAGTGGGTTATGAACTCCCATTTTTAGCCCATATACAGATTGCAGAATCACATCAATTACACATCCATTGATTTACATATTGCCCTACTAGTGACTGTCATGTTCTGCTACCTTTCCTATCCTCTACTATCCCCCCTCTCCTCCCCTCCCCACCCCTCTTCTCTCTCTACCCCCTCTACTGACCTTCATTTCTCCCCCTTGTATTATTTTTCCCTTTCCCCTCATTTCCTCTTGTATGTTCTTTTGTATAACCCTGAGGGTCTCCTTCCATTTCCATGCAATTTCCCTTTTCTCTCCCTTTCCCTCCCACCTCTCATCTCTGTTTAATGTTAATCTTCGTCTCATGCTCTTCGACCCTACTCTGTTCTTAGTTACTCTCCTTATATCAAAGAAGACATTTGGCATTTGTTTTTTAGGGATTGGCTAGCTTCACTTAGCATAATCTGCTCTAGTGCCATCCATTTCCCTGCAAATTCTATGATTTTTGTCATTTTTTAATGCAGAGTAATACTCCATTGTGTATAAATGCCACATTTTTTTAATCCATTCGTCTATTGAAGGGCATCTGGGTTGGTTCCACAGTCTTGCTATTGTGAATTGTGCTGCTATGAACATTGATGTAGCAGTGTCCCTGTAGCATGCTCTTTTTAGGTCTTTAGGGAATAGACCGAGAAGGGGAATAGCTGGGTCAAATGGTGGTTCCATTCCCAGCTTTCCAAGAAATCTCCATACTGCTTTCCAAATTGGCTGCACCAATTTGCAGTCCCACCAGCAATGTACAAGTGTACCCTTTTCCCCACATCCTCGCCAGCACTTGTTGTTGTTTGACTTCATAATGGCTGCCAATCTTACTGGAGTGAGATGGTATCTTAGGGTGGTTTTGATTTGCATTTCTCTGACTGCTAGAGATGGTGAGCATTTTTTCATGTACTTGTTGATTGATTGTATGTCCTCCTCTGAGAAGTGTCTGTTCAGGTCCTTGGCCCATTTGTTGATTGGGTTGTTTGTTCTCTTATTGTCTAATTTTTTGAGTTCTTTGTATACTCTGGATATTAGGGCTCTATCTGAAGTGTGAGGAGTAAGATTTGTTCCCAGGATGTAGGCTCTCTATTTACCTCTCTTATTGTTTCTTTAGCTGAGAAAAAACTTTTTAGTTTGAGTAAGTCCCATTTGTTGATTCTAGTTATTAACTTTTGTGCTATGGGTGTCCTATTGAGGAATTTGGAGCCCGACCCCACAGTATGTAGATCGTAGCCAACTTTTTCTTCTATCAGACGGCGTGTCTCTGATTTGATATCAAGCTCCTTGATCCATTTTGAATTCACTTTTGTGCATGGCGAGAGAAAGGGATTCAGTTTCATTTTGTTGCATATGGATTTCCAGTTTTCCCAGCACCATTTGTTGAAGATGCTATCCTTCCTCCATTGCATGCTTTTAGCCCCTTTATCAAATATAAGGTAGTTGTAGTTTTGTGGATTGGTTTCTGTGTCCTCTATTCTGTACCATTGGTCCACCCGCCTGTTTTGGTACCAGTACCATGCTGTTTTTGTTACTATTGCTCTGTAGTATAGTTTGAAGTCTGGTATCGCTATACCGCCTGATTCACACTTCCTGCTTAGCATTGTTTTTGCTATTCTGGGTCTTTTGTTTTTCCATATGAATTTCATGATTGCTTTCTCTATTTCTACAAGAAATGCCGTTGGGATTTTGATTGGCATTGCATTAAACCTATAGAGAACTTTTGGTAATATCGCCATTTTGATGATGTTAGTTCTGCCTATCCATGAACAGGGTATATTTTTCCATCTTCTAAGATCTTCTTCTATTTCTCTCTTTAGGGTTCTGTAGTTTTCATTGTATAAGTCTTTCACCTCTTTTGTTAGGTTGATTCCCAAGTATTTTATTTTTTTTGAAGATATTGTGAATGGAGTGGTTGTCCTCATTTCCATTTCAGAGGATTTGTCGCTGATATACAGGAATGCCTTTGATTTATGCGTGTTGATTTTATATCCTGCCACTTTGCTGAATTCATTTATTAGCTCTAATAGTTTCTTTGTAGAGCCTTTTGGGTCTGCTAGGTATAGAATCATATCATCTGCAAATAGTGACAATTTAAGTTCTTCTTTTCCTATATTTATGCCTTTAATTTCTTTCGTCTGTCTAATTGCTCTGGCCAGTGTTTCGAGAACTATGTTGAACAGAAGTGGTGAGAGAGGGCATCCCTGTCTTGTTCCAGATTTAGAGAGAATGCCTTCAATTTTTCTCCATTCAGAATGATGCTAGCCTGAGGCTTAGCATAGATTGCTTTTACAATATTGAGGTATGTTCCTGTTATCCCTAGTTTTTCTAGAGTTTTGAACATAAAGGGATGCTGTACTTTGTCGAATGCTTTTTCTGCATCTATCGAGATGATCATATGGTTCTTATTTTTAAGTCTATTGATGTGGTGAATAACATTTATTGATTTCCGTATATTGAACCAGCCTTGCATCCCAGGGATGAATCCTTCTTGATCATGGTGCACAATTTTTTTTTGATATGTTTTTGTATCCGATTCGCCAGAATTTTATTGAGGATTTTTGCATCTAGGTTCATTAGAGATATTGGTCTGAAGTTTTCTTTCTTTGAAGTGTCTTTGTCTGGTTTAGGTATCAGGGTGATGTTGGCCTCGTAGAATGAATTTGGAAGTTCTCCCGCTTTTTCTATTTCCTGAAGTAGCTTGAAAAGTATTGGTATTAGTTCCTCTTTAAAGGTTTTGTAAAATTCTACTGTATACCCATCCGGTCCTGGGCTTTTCTTAGTTGGTAGTCTTTTGATGGTTTCTTCTATTTCCTCAATTGGTATTGGTCTGTTTAGGTTGTCTATATCCTCCTGACTCAATCTGGGCAGATCATATGACTTCAGAAATTTATTGATGCCTTCACTATCTTCTAATTTATTGGAGTATAAGGATTCAAAATAATTTTTGATTATCTTCTGTATTTCTGAAGTGTCTGTTGTGATATTGCCTTTTTCATCCCGTATGCTAGTAATTTGAGTTCTCTCTCTTCTTCTCTTCGCTAGCATGGCTAAGGGTCTGTCGATTTGAAGAAAAGAATCCTTTCCAATTATGACTTAAAAGCCAGTTCTGCAAGTTTGTAACAGTTCTGTTCAGAGTGAATTAACCATAACCAAAGTCAATAGACACAAACAACTTGGGTACAAATCTGAGAAGATTGGGCAAAAGATACTCAGAAGTCAATAAAAGGCAAACACAAATGGCTGTGAAACATATGAAAATACACTATAATCTAATAGTTTTTTAAAAAAATATATTTATTTTTTAGTTGTAATTGGACACAATACCTTTATTTCACTTATTTATTTTTATGTGATACTGAGGATTGAACCCAGGATCTTGCACGTGCGAGGCGAGCGCTCTACCACTGAGTCACATCCCAAGCCCTATATCTAATAGTTTTAATGAATTAATAGTATAGATGTATCATTATCACCTCTGTGAGTGGAAACAATTCTGAAAGTTTGACTATGTTCCCTTTTGGTGAGACTGGTAAAATAAGTTATTTCAGATATCACTGGTAGAAATGCCTAACAGTCAATCAATGCAGTTAGAGAAGTACTTAAAAATACTTAGCCTTCTAGGATGGTAATGTGAAAATATACATTTATGAATATGATATGACATATGCACAAGTTTTTTAAAATTTAGAAAATTCAAAGAAATTTACAACCCCAATATATAAATGAATTACTGCTCATCGCCTACACACCAGGCTTGACTAAAATCAAGCAAAATCATTTGCATATTCTATTGAATGAAGAAGAGAAGTAACTGAAATCTAGAGAAACTCCAGCCTCCGATTCTAAATCCCAAACTCCCAGTCTTATCTACCCATATGTATGAGAATCTGAAAATTATTGGTTAATTAAATCACACATTTTTCTCCCTTCAAAATGTGAGTGAAGGAATCAGGAACACCAATATCTGACCTTTATACTCCTCTGGGCCCTCCTTTTTCCATTGTTACATTCCACCATTTGGAAAAGAGTCTTTCTTCCCCCTAGAGTCTGTCAAGGTCTATCCCCTTGTGCTACTTTATCTTGCTTCCTAAAATGGTATTCAGTATCTCTTCCATAGATGAAATGACTGTGACTTCTGGGTGAGAGTGATGGTGTGAAATGGACTTTATTATTTGTTCAAGGTTTTTACTCACTGTGAGAAACTTTAGAGCAATTAGTACACTTGCATTCAAAAGGGACATAGTACTGCCTTTATTTAGCATAATAATGACAAAGCTAAAAGAATAAAGAAAGGAAACAGGTTAGAGTCTACTGTTCCTTTCCCCTGTTTTTCTCCAAAATGAGTAATCAATCCTTGATTGCTAAGGCAATGGTCTATAGTTCTATTACAAAAGTTACCATGGTAACTACTACTCCAAAACAATTGAGCTGTTATCTGAAAAACCTTCTTCCCATAAATGTGGAGGAGGTTAAAACTTGGAGTTTTATTAGAATATTATTCTATATTTCTGAGTTTGACTTTGAAAATAGGAAGATATAGTTATAGTGGGTTTAAGGTCCTTGTGATTAGCATCTTGATGGCCACCTTAAGTGACAACCTCCATTTTAAGGAAAAAGTTTCACTTTCCCACCCAACAGTGTTTCTGAGAAAGCCACTCCACTCATTCATATCAACCCAATCCTTAAAGCATAAGGACTTGCCCAGCTCTGATTCCTGAGCCTCCCTCATAAAAGTCCCAGAACTCAGCCTGTTTTGCCTCTCTCTCCTATAGAGAGATGGCCTTTATTTGTCAGCTCTGACAAATAAACTCTCCTGTGTATCTCTACTCTCCTGTGTATCTCTTTCATTTCTCTCTTATCCATCTCTCATTCCTTGCTTTTCCTTCAGTGGGTACATTCAATAACAAATAGTTCTACTTTAATATTAATCCACATTATTAAAGAAAATTTCTATAATATATTTTACTGTACTATAAAATAGATTAATAAAAAATTATTTATTCTTGTATTTTCTCAGTTCTTAAGTGCTGACAGCTTGGTGAAGAGAAACTCCTTCCTTGTATAATCCATACCATTTTTTGCTGTGAGATAAGCAAAATAAAAAAGAACACCTTTAAGTCAGGAAGGTAGTTCTTATCATAGAGACAAGTCTTCAGCTAATCTCAGGACAACTTCTGTTTTGATTCTGTGACTTTAGAAATATTGAAGACAAGTCTGATTTTCCTTCTAACTAAAAATGACACTCTCCGCTATAGCAGCGTGCACCTGGCTTTGCAAAGTCTTCTCAGCTTTGTCCATGTTTATCTCCTCTCTGTTGATTATATAGAACCAGATTCTTGGTGCTAGAAGAAAAAAGAAAGAATAAGATGTGAGAATCATGAAGTTCCATTACAGAATATGAAGGACATCTAGAAAGAAATCCATGTGCAAAGTTGTCAGAAGAGTCCAAGCAGAACCTTTGCTACCCTTCCCCATAGACACTAGACACCTTCATTTCCAGTTTCTGGTACAGAGAACATAAATGTTTTCCTAGGGGGAAAAATAAAAAAAATAAACACATTCAAGTCATTACAGTCCCTTTGAGTGGGTGAAACTCCTGTACAGTCTTCTTCCAGGCATGAAAATCACAATAAGGCCATGAATTTCAATCACAACCATGATAGGCCTGCATATCAACCCTTTCTCATGAATAAAGACTTCTTTTCCTTGTCCTATGCTTTTCAGAAGGAAGCCAGGCCAAGGAATAAATGGTGAGATTGATCTAAGAATGTTGGGCCCAGTATCTTCTGTTTTTCAGAACTGGGAGACAGGCCTTTGCTCATGTCTCCTCAGAAGTCATTAGTGGGACCCATTCTACTTCCTTTGTCTTTAACCCAGTGTTCATGCATAATTATGTGGTGCTGAGGATCAAACCTAATGTCTCACACATGAAAACAAACTCTCTACCAACTGAGCTACAACACCAGCCCCATGCATAATTTCTTTAGAAAGAAATCCTTCACCATAGGAGGTATTTCTCATGAGACTTCTCTGCTATTGTTCCCACTATTTCTTAAAACCCCAAATTTCCAATTTGGGGCATATTTACTTACCCCTGGGAACCTCGCCTCTTCTTCTAAGTCCAGTCCATAGCAGTTTCTATTTCAAATGAATTTCTTCCAGTGATAAAGATGATATACTGGTATTCATTGCTCTTTAGTTTGCCTGAGGACATTTTTGCTTTATAGCTTGATGTGGTCTACAAACTTGTTTTTTCTTCTGGGGAATATTATCTAAAGGGCTTCTCTAATCCTACTTGTGGTACAAGTGCTACTGTCCATATTGGTGCTGGTGGCCCTGGTGGTGGTGATCATGGTGCTGGGATGATGATAATAGTAGTCCTGTAGATGGTGGTGCTGTTGAAGGTGGAGCTGCTGACAGTGGTGTTAGCAGTACTGGTGCTATTATTTATGGTATTGATGGTTGTGGTGGTTATGGGCTAGTGATGGTGGTGCTAGCCATGTTGGTGATAATAGTGGTGATGCTGCTGCTAATGTGCTACTGGTGGTGCTGTCAATGGTGGTGATGACTATTGTGCTGGTGATAACATTGTTGATGTCAGTGATGGCTGAGGTGATGGTGCTGTTAACAATGATTATGATGTTGGTAATGGTACTGTTGATGGTAGTGCTATTGGTGGTGATGGTAGAGATGGCACTGCTATTGATGGTGCTGTTAACAGTGGCAATGGTTGTGATGGTCATGGTATGGTGGTGATGGTGCTGCAGATAGTACTGTTGATGGTGGTGCTGGTAGTGCCGGTGAAGGTGGTAATTGTAGTGGTGCTGTTGATGGTGGTGCTAATTATGATTGTAGTGGTGATACTCTTGATAGTAGTGATGGCTGTGATGATAAGATAGTGATGATGGTGCTTGTTGCTGCTGCTGTTGATGGTGATGTTATTGACAGTGGCAATGGTTGTAGTAGTCATAGTGGTGGCCATTGTTGTTGTATTGTTGATGGTAGTAATAATGGTGGTGCTGGGGCTTTTGATGGTGGTGATAGTTGTGCTGGTGGTCATGATGCTATCAATGGTTATTGTGAAAGAAGTCTCTTATGCGCCTAATTATGTTGTGACATTGGATACTTATGCCTTTTGTCCAGCTCTTTTTGACTTTGTTTTCCTCCTCTTCGTATACTTCTTTTTTTCTCTTTCTGTTCTTACTTCTAAGCAAGTTAAGGGCTACATGAAAAGAATGGCAGCTAAATCCCTCTTTAATACCATTCTTCACATGGTCCTGTAGAATCTCCAAGGAGGGGAAAACTCGGCAGCAGGCCATGCACCTGTAGCCACTGTCATGGGCCACAAGCCATTCTGGTGTTTTAGCTCTGGAACTTGTCTCCAGAGGTGGAAGATCTATCGGTCTGTCATTATCTTCTGATGCCTCTTGGACTACATCATCAAAGCTGAGATCACTCTCAGTTAGGAGTTCTTCTGTGGATACGACAGAGAGATTTTCTTCTGTATGGATTGTCTCAGGAAATGCAATGGTTTTCATTTTTGTCTTTTTGCATGGAGGCTGCCTTTCGTCTTCTGTATCCTCTAAGGCAGCCACCCCCCTCTTCATTCTAACATGCATATAGTACACTTTCATTATTCTTTCCCTTTTCCTCTTCTTTGAGCATGTACAGGGATTATTGGCCAAGTAAACTGGTAATTCGTTATATGCCAATGACGAAGAATATTCTGATTCTTCCAACTTGCTTTCTACAGACGTACTATGTGATTCAGGATAGGAAACATATGAAGATGATTCACTGGTTTCTAGAAAAAAAATCCAAATAAAAGAAAATAACATTACTATAAGAATGTTCTTGTATGTAGGCATGCGAAATGGGGGGTACATATATCAGTGATGCTTCAGAATTCTTTGTGTGTTATATGTCAACCCAAGTTTGTACATGTTACACCTGTGTGGAAAATGAGATTTTTGTAATAACATGTTGAATTATATTCTGGTAAATATCTGGTGATTATTTTTGATGTTGTCAAAAGGGGGTGGTGATGATTGTGTGTGTGTGTGTGTGTGTGTGTGTGCGCGTGCGTGTGCATGCTAAATGACAGTACAGAGTGTACATGGTCAGGTATGGGTTTTTGAATGGCTGAAAGCATATCTATCATTGGATATTTGTGTGAGAAAATTGGTATAAGAAAGTGCTTTATTTTCAAGACATATGAGTTTTCTTAACTTTCCTAGATATTGGTCTAGCATTGCAGAGTTAAAACAGGTTGTCTGGAAATATATGAAACATTTAATAAATTAAAATGTAAATCAATGAAATGAGAATGGTTGTATGGAAAAATGAGGGTGAAAGGAAGTATATAGGCAATGTTAATGGAGAATAGAAAAAAATGGGTAGAGAAAAAAAAGAGTATTGTATGCGAAAATAAGTAAAGGAAGAGGAGATGGGGCCAGCTTAGTATGAATATTTATAACATATGAGTATGTTTTAGTTGTGGCATCTGAGGGGGAAGTTTCTGATTAAATTACCATACACATCTCAGCACTATCCCATCTCACCCACTGCTACCCCAGTGTTCACATGCAGCATTGTGCTGAGGTTCTGATTCAGTCCTATTCTTGAAGGCACATTCCCCATTCGACCCTCCTCACAAGGCTTGGTGTTAGGTCCTTTGGAATGAATCCTTCTTTTGTATTTCGAAAGTAGTGAAGTGAGCAGTGTTGGACAAGCAACTGGGGTCCCTCTCTGATCTCAGATAACCTGGAATCTGTCTTACCCTGATTATCATTAGGGGTCAGTGTGCTGTCAAAGGAGATGGAGGTCAAATAATCTGAGGAAGATGAATTATCTCCTGCTGCCTGATCCCTGACTGGTTCCAGCATATATGACTTAGGAACAATTTCTTGAAACTTCTGCAATCCTGGAAAACAAAATAACAAGAAACATTAAGACACGCCACAATCTAGGCTCTGTTTCATTCAGAAACAGATATGCTCAGTGAACAAGATATTTCAGGCATTGTTAACTGTCCATAAAACTAATTCTCACAATCAGTAAGATGGTTTTCCCATTGAAATTTCCAAAACAAAAACAAACAATAGTTATTGACATTATGTGTGGTAGATATCATTGAAATTGGATATCCTGGATGTGATATTTTTGGAAATTAAAAAAAAAATTGGTTGTAGATGGACACAATAACTTTATTTATTTTTATGTGGTGCTAAGGATTGAATATGTAATGCCTCATGCATACTAGGCAATTGCTCTACAACTGAGCTACAACTGCAACCCAATATTTTTGGAAATTTATACAGATTTTTGAAAACTAAACCATACATAAAATATGACATATACTCACTAGAAGTTATTATCATTATTATTATTATCTAAATTTCTCATTAGAAATTGTTCATTTATAGGACATGGAGTATGAATTTTAAAAACAATTATAATGACCTAGTTCATTTTTTCTATCTATCTATCTATCACCTACCTATCATCTATCTAAATATATATGTTCAGGGATACCAAGAGTTCAGGCCTCTGGCCCTGGAAGTCTCAAGACTTGTCAGGAAAGATGATTGTTCCTATTTTTGCATACTTTGGAGGAATTTCCACCTTCTTCTGTTCCCCATAATTCAGAAACTCCCCCTTCAATTTTAACACACATATGCTAAGCTTTCACTATTCTTTCATTCTTCATATGCACTGAGATTTTACAGAACTCCTTGGCCCAAAAGCAGTGAAAATTTTGCATGTGAAAAGGGGGAGGAATTCTCCATTTCCTCTCAATAGTGTTCTAGATGCATCTTAGGGGAAAGAAGCCATGTAACAGAATGATGTAATTTGTCAGTTTCTTGGAAAGCAAATTTCAATATAATGAGACAAAATGACCTGTGTATAAGCATAAAAAAATGGGTGCATGTATCTGGAATGTTTTAGAATTCTGTCATGTCTTTCATCTGAGGTGTGTACATGGTACATGAGAGGGTGGAAGGTTTATGCAATTGTATGTATATTTTGTTACATTTCAGGTAAATACGTTTGGAGATAGTGATGAGTGTATGTTTGTGTGTCTATATGTATGGATGTATGATTGTGAATGTGTGTGATTATGTATGTGTGTGTGTGTGCATGTTTGCATTCTTCTTTATGAGAATACATAGTATACATACTTAGGAGGTGGTTTAAGAAGAACAGAAATCACCATCATCCATAGACATTTGGGTGAGAAAAATCTATGTATGAAAATGCTTCTTTTTCATGAAATACACATTTTCTAATTCTTGGTTTACCATTACAAAATTAACATAAGTTATCTGTGTGGAGGGATTTGAAGCATTTATGGGATTAATCTAGAAAAAAGTGAATCTAGGAATGGTTGTTTGTAGGAAGAAAGGAGCAAGGGTTTACATAATTAATGGTACTAAAGGAAAGAGGGATGGGGAAAGAGGGAAAACTGAACTACAGAAAAAATGCAAGGAAGGAGAAGTGTGGCCATACATAGTTTGAAGTGTAACATTAGTGTGTGAGCTGAGCTGTAGTTTTGCCATCTGAGGGGGGAGATTTTTGTATCTGTCTTACCACACTCCTCAGGAGGAATGAGTTTGCTGGAAGTGGAGAGACAGGTGAAATATTTTGAATCACATGAATTCTCTTCTGCTGCCTGAGTTCTGGTTGCTTCCAGTATAAATGGTTCAGTAGCAATGCCTTTCCTTTTCTGGAAATCTGGAGGATGAAAAAAACAAGAAATACTGACTCATAGCATAATGCAGGTTCTGTGTTATTCAAAAATAAATACAATAAGTGGATATTTTTTCAGGTGTTGTTACCACCATGAATGCTAATTATGATATGTTTACCATTCAAAATTTTGAAACAAATAGTATTTATTAATAGTGTGTGTGTTAAATGTCACTGTGATTGGAAATCTTGAATGTGATATTTTTTAAAAATTCACATAATATTGGAAACCAAACCTTATCACAAATATAGTAAGTAGTCATTAAGTTTATTAATTAACTATTTCTGTTATGTTATCAATATACATAAACATATATTATGTATATGTGTGTGTATGTATGCATATATATGTACAATATCTGAGTTCATATGTCCATGGCTGGCAGCTATTCGGGCTTTATCCCTGGAACTCTCCTCCAATGAGTGAGTTTTACTGGTCTTTCAACCTCCCTTCCTCTTAGACCAAATTGTCCAAGCTGAATGCACTGTCATTTGGGGATGTTTACAAAAGTAAACACATGTGAGAGGTTTACCTCTTCAGGTGTCTTCACATGAAAGTTGATTGTTTATATTCATGCCTTTTGTACTCTTGCCTTCTCTAATCCATGACACAGAAACCTTATTTTCATTTGAATATTCATATACTACACCTTTATGACTCTTTCTTTGTTCATATGCACTGAGGATGTACAGGGCGCCTTGGCCAATAACATTGAAAACCAGAAATGTGGAAAGGGAGAGGAAATCTCCATTTGCTCCAACTATTGAAAAAGGTTATCTCAGGGGATAGAAGACATGTAAAACATTGATATACTTTATAAATATCTGGGAAGAAAATTTCAGATATAAGGAGATAAATTGCCTGTGATTAGGCATTAAAAATGGGGGTACATGCATATGAAAATTCTCTTTTATTTGAGGTGTGTACATTGTACATCTCTGGACAATGAGATGGTGGTAGGCTTCATGAAATTATATGTATGTTTTATTATGAATAAATTCAGTGCTACAAAAGAGGGATGTTGATGAGTGAATGTGTGTGTTGATGAGTGAGTGTGTGTGTATAGAGAGATATGTACTTTTTTGTGTATGAGTGTAATTATGTGTGTGTTATAACACATGTGTTTCTGTTTTCTATTATGAGAGTACAAAATACATGTAAGTGTGTGCTGGTCTACAAAACACAGAAATACTCATCAAGTATGGACATTTGGGTGATAATATCTACATATGAAAATGCTACTTTTTAAGGACAAACTTTTTCTAGTTCTTGGCCTAGCATTGCAAGATTAAAACAAGTTATCTGGGTGAAGGGATGTGGTGCATTTATTGGATTAATGTGGAAAGCAATGAATATAACACTGATTATTTGTAAGAATGATTGGCCATGAGAGCACCACTATAATGGTAATAGAGGAAAGATGGATGGACAAAAGAGGGAAAACTGTACTATAGAATAAGTAAAGGAAGGAGAAATGGGGACATATCTAGTATGAAGGTTTCTAGCAGGTTATTTTGTGAGGTTTAGTTGTGCTGTCTAACAGGAAAGTTTCTGAACAAATTCCCACACACCTCAGCATGTTTCATTTCCCCCACAAGTGCCCCAATGTTCACATGCAGGACTGTGCTGAAGAACTCTGTCATATTTTGAAGGCACATTCACTCTTTGTTTCTCACAAGAGGCCTCAGAGTATTAATGCCTCTGCCCTGAATCCCTTCCCCCATATTCAGAAGAATAGGAAAGTGAGCAAGGGTTGGACTAGCACTTCAGCAGTACCTCCTGCCTGAGGCTCAACCCCACCTTTCCATCTGTCTTACCATACTCATCAGTAGGAAGGGTTTTGCTCGGAGGGGAGAGACAGCTGAAATATTCTGAATCAGATGAATTCTCTCCTGCCGCTTCCAGCATATATGGTGCGATGGCAGACTCTTTCCAGTACTGAAAATCTGGAGAATATAACAACAGCAAATACTGAGGTATGGCAAAATCTGAAATCTGTGTCATTAAAACATACATCGAGTGGATATTTTATTGTTATTGATATTGTTACCACCGTGAAACTTTCTCACATGGTAATTATGAAGTTCCCATTCAAAATTTCAAAATAATAAGTAGCTACAAAACAGTGGGCCACGTTTGGTGGCACACACCTATAATCCCAGTGGCTCGGGAGGCTGAGGCAGGAGGGTCGCAAGTCCAAAGCCAGCCTCAGCAAAAGTGCAGTGCTAAGCAACTCAATGAGACCCTGTCTCTAAATAAAATACAAAATATGGCTAGGGATATGGCTCAGTGGTCAAGTGACCCTGAGAGTTCAATGTCTGCTACCAAAAAACAAAACCAAACAAAAGAAAAACAAATAAAAGTGGTTTGTGTGTTATTATAAAAAGTGGTTTCTTCATTACTTATAAAAAAAAGTAGTTTGTGTGTTAGATATCACTATTTGGAAATCTTGAATATGATATGTTTGGTAAAGTATACAGACTGTTGGAAAATGAACACTATCACAAATGTGATACATAATAAAGAGAGTGTGGGTGTTATTGTTAGCAAATTTCCCTCTTGACAAACTGGGCAAATAATAGATATGGAGTAAAAGTTTATAAATTTACTACTTTGGTTATGTAATCAATATACATGAATATATGGATATTTTTATATGTACATACATAATATCTAAATTCATATGTCCAATGCCATCAACCATTCAGGCTTTTGCCTTGGGTCTCTGAACTCCACTGGAGGAATTTCTGCTGGGCTTTAAGCTTCCTTTCCTCTTGGGCCACTTTGTCCAAGCTGAAATCACTGTCACTAGTTGTTTTGTAGACACATATGAGAGTGTGTACCTCTGCTGTTGTCTTTTCAGGAAAGGCGCTTGTTCGCACTCTTGCCTTTTGGGGAACTTCCTCCCTCTTTTGTAACCAATAACACAGAAACCCTAATTTCACTTAACATACATACTCTACATTTTCAGGACTCTTTCCTTCTTCATATGCACTGACAAAATACACAACTCCTTCCTCAAGGTCATTGAAAATTAGAAATGTGGGTAGGTGAAGTAGTCTCCATTTGTGCCAAATATTGTAAAAAGGGCATCTTGGAGAATAAATGACATACAAAACATTGATGTAATTTATCAATTTCCGGGAAGAAAATTTCAAATATAAGGAATTAAAATGGCCTGTGATTCTGCATGAAAAATGGGGGTGCATGTATCTGGGAATTATCTGTCTTGTCCCTTTTATTTGAGATGTGTACATGGTATATTCTATGGAAAATGAGATGTTGGTAGTTTTGTGCAATTATATGTTTGTTTGTTACTTATCAGGTGAATATGTTTGGCGTTAGTAAAGAGGGATGGTTTGGAGTGAATGCGTTCGTGTGTGTGTGTGTGTGTGTGTGTGTATGCTTGTATATATGTGATTATGTTGGTATGTTTTAGTGCCTGATCTTGCCATTTTCCATTGTGAGAGCGCAGTACATATAAGTAGGTGCTGCTCTATGAAAGAAATCATCATCATGCACAGACTCTTAAGTGAGAAAATCTATATATGAAAATGCTTTTTTTTTAAGGTGTAGCCAATTTTCAGGTCTTGGTCTAGGATTACAAATTTAACACAAGTTATCTATGTGAAGCATTTATGGGATTAAAAAAAATTGTCCAAAGCAGAGAATCTAAGAATGATTGTTTTTAGGCATGAGAATGTACCTCTATAATGTAAGAGAGGAAAGATGAATGGAGAAAAAGAGGACTACTGAACAAGGGAAGAAGTACAAGGAAGGAGATGTTGGGCAATACCTAGTATGAAGGTTTCTAACACATGAGTGTGTGAGCTTTAATTGTGCCATCTAAGGAGAAACTTTCTGATCAAATTCCCATACACAGTTTAGCATGCCTCTGTCTCTCCCACAGCCTTCCCAGTGTTCAAATGCAGTTTTGTGCTGAGGAACTTTTTCTTATTTTGAGAGCACATTCCCTGTGTGCCTTCTAAAGAGGCCTCAGTGTTAGTGCCTCTGCCCTCAATACCTTCCCCCTATTAAAAAGAATAGAAAAGTCAACAGAGGTTGGACTAGCACCTCAGCTGTACCTGTTGTCTGAGCTCAATCCCACATTGGTATCTGTCTTACCATGCTCCTCAGCTGGAATGACTTTGCTGAAAGTAGAAAAACAGGTGAAATATTCTGAATCAGATGAATGATCTCCTGCTTTCAGATTCCTGGCTGTTTCTAGCATGTATCGTTTAATAGCAATCTGTTTCCACGTTTGGAAATCTGGAAAATGAAGCAACAACAATAAATATTGAGGCATAGCATAATCTTGGATCTGTGTCATTCAAAAATAGATATATTGAGTGGATGGATATTTTGTTCAGATACTTTTACCACCATGAAATATTCGCATGATAAATTATGATGGGTTTACTATTAAAAATTTTTAAATAAATGTAGCTATCAGAATTAGTTATTAGATGTCACTGTGATTCCAAATCTTGAATGTGATATTTTTAGAAAAGTATACAGAATATTGGAAACTGAACCTTATAAAAAATGTGATATGCAATCAATAAAGTATGAGTGGTATTTTTTTTTCAGCTAATTTACTACTTGAAAAATTGGGCAAATGTAGATATGGAATAAAAGTTTGCTACTTAGGTATTCTGTTATGCTATCCATATACATAAGTATATAGATATGTTTATATGTCCATGTAAGGTATCTAAGTTCATACGTCCACAACCAGCATTCAGGCTTTTCCCCTAGAACTCTTCTCTATTGGGTAAGTTCTTTTGGGCTCTCAGCCTCCTTTCAACTTGAGTACACTGTCAAAGCTGAACTCACTGTCAGAGAAATACTGTTTTGTAGACACATGAGAAGTTTACTTCTGCAGGTGTCTTCTTAGGAAATGCAGTCATTTGCATTCTTGACTTTTGGGGTGAAATTCTTCCCTATTCTGTAACCCATACCACAGAAACTCCACTTTCATTTGAACATACATATACTACACTTTAATGACTCTTTTCTTCTTCACACGCACTGACAATGTACAAGGATCTTTGTCCAAGGGCACTGAATATTAGAAATGTGGGTGGAGGAGGAAATCTACATTTCCTGCAATATTCTATAAAGTACATTTCAGAAGATTGATGACACATAAAACAGTGATATAATTTATCAATTTCTGGGAAGAAAATGTCAAATATAAGGAGATAAGGTATCCTATATTTGGACATGAAAATGGGAGTGTGCAAGTTTCTGGGAATTCACCTTTTATCTGAGGTGTGTACATGGTACATCTATATGGAAATGAGATGGTGGTATTGTGCAATTATATGTATGTTTTGTTACATATCACGTGAAGCTGCTGGTAAAGAGGATGGTGGTGAGTGTATACGTACATGTATGTGTGTCTGTGAGTGCCCTGTGCTTATTTGTGTGTATGTGTTTGAGCATGTGTGATTGCATTTTCCATTATGAGAGCACATAGTATATATAAGTGTGTGCTTGTTCATGATGGACAGTAATCAGCCATCATTATAGACATTTGGGTGAGAAAATCCACATAGGAAAATGCTTCTTTCTCAGGACATGCACATTTTCAAGGTCTTCATCCAGCATCACAAGGTTATCACAAGTTATCTGGGTGAGGGGATGTGAAGCATTTATGGGATTAATTTGTAAACAGTGAATCTAAGAATGGTTGTAAGAATAAGGGGACAATGGAGTACCTCTGTATTGGTAATATAGGAAAATAGGCTGGAAAAACAGGACAAATGAATGAGAGAATAAGTACCAAGGAGGAAAATTGGGACTATACCTAGTTTGAAAGTGTGTAACACATGAGTGTGTGAGCTTTAGTGGTGCCATCTGAAAGGGATATTTCTGATCAAGTTCCCCTACACATCTTAGCATGTCCCAAGTCTCCCCCACAGCTGCCCCAGTGTTCACATGCAAGTTTGTGCTGAGGAACTTTTCCCTATTTTGAAGGACATTACCTATTTGCTCCCCACAAGAAGCCTCAGTATTAGTGCCACTTTCTGGATTCACAGAGAAGCAAGCAAGGGTTGGACTAGAACCTCAGCTCTACCTCCTGCCTGAGCTCAATTCCACCTTTGCATCTGTCTTACCACGCTCCTCAGTAGGAAGGAGTTTGCTGGAAGTGGAGACACAGGTGAAATATTCTGAATCAGATGAATTCACTACTGCTGCCTGAGTTCTGGCTGCTTCCAGCATGTATTTTTTGGTAACAATGCTTTTCCACTTCTGGAAATCTGGAGAATGAAACAACAGCAAATACTGAGGCATAACATAATTTGGCTTCTATGTTATTCAAAAACAGATATATTGAGTGAATATTTTGTTTCAGATATTATTACCACCATGAAACATGCACTTAGCTAATTATGATATGTTTATCATTCAAAATTTTGAAATAAACAGTAGTTGTTAAAATGGTTTGTGTGTTAGATGCCACTGTGATTGAAAATCATGAATGTGATCTTTTTGGAAAATACACAGAATATAGGAAACTGAACCTTATCACGAATACGATAGTCATTACATTATGGTGTTATTATTTTCATATAATTTCCTTTGTGAAAATTGGGCAAATAGTGTATATGAAGTAAAGTGCATTAAGCAACAATTTCTGTTAAGTTATAAATATACATAAACAGATACGTTTATATGTCCATGTACAAAATCTAAGTTAATATGTTCATATTCGGCAGCCATTCAGGTTTTTCCCTGGAACTCTTCACCATTGGATGAATTCTGCTGAGCTCTCAGCCTCCCTTCCTCTTGGGTCACATTGTCCAAGCTGAATCACTGTCATTTAGGGGCTCTTTTGTAGACATATGTGAGAGGTTGACCTTTAGAGGTGTCTTTTCTCAGGAAAGGTGATTTTTTTGTATTCATGCCTTTTTTATTTTTGCCTTCTGTAACTCATAACACAGAAACCCTACTACTTTCATTTGTACATCCATATACTACACTTTCATCACTCTTGCCTTCTTCATATGCACTGAGGATGTACAGGGGTCCTTGTCCAAGAGCTTTGAAAACTGGAAATGTGGAAAGCAGGAGGGAGTCTCCATTTCCTCTAAATATTCTACAAAGGTCATCTCAGAGGAGAGAAGAGGATCTTCTGTCATCTCAGAGGATACAACACTAATGTGATTTATCTATTTCTGTGAAGTAATTCTCAATTATAAGGATATAAGATATACAGTAACTGGGGATGAGAAGTGAGAGCATTCTTTTTTTTTTTTACTTTTTATTGGAGGTGAGTACATGGTACATCTCTATGGAAAATGAGATGGTGGTAGGTTTTATGCAATTATATGTATCTTTTGTTATATATCAGGTGAATATATTTGGTACTGATAAAGTAGAGGGATGATAAGTGAATGTGTGTGTGTGTGTGTGTGTTTGTATATGTCCTCGTTTGTGTGTATGCATTTGATTTTGCATGTATGTCTTAGCACACATGTTTGCATTTTCCATTAGGAGAATACACACTACATATAAGTGTGTGCAGATCTACTAAAGAAAGAAATAACCAACATCCACAGACATTTAGATGAGAAAATCTAAATATGAAAAGGCTTCTTTTAAAGAAAATATACATTTTCTAGGTCCAATTTAGCATTATAAAGTTAACACAAGTTATCTACGTGAAGCCATATGAAGCATTTATGGGATTAATGTGGAAAACAGAGAATCTAAGAATCATTGTTTGTAGGAATGAGGGGAAAATGTTGTACAGTTCTGTAATGGTAATAGAGGAAAGATGAATGGAGAAAGAAGGGACTACTGAATGAGAAAATAAGTATAAGGAAGGAGAAATTGGGCAAAACCTAGTATAATGGTTTCTAACACATGAGTGTGTGAACTTGAGTTGTGCCTCTAAGGGAGAAGTTTCTGATCAAATGCCCACATACATTGAACATCTCCCTTGTCTCCCCCACAGCTGCCCCAGTATTCATATGCAGGCCTGTGCTGAGGAACTTTGCCCTATTTTGAGGGACATTCACTATTCACACTTCACAAGAGGCCTCAATATTGGTGCCTGTGCCTTGAGTCCCTCCCTGCTATTCAAAAGAATAGAGAAGTGAGCAAGGGTTGGACTAGTATCTCAGCTGTACCTCTTGTCTGAGCT